GCGTCTGTTTCGTTTTCGATGAGCCACCCTGTATATATTTACGCATAGGAAGAACATGTTTTTCCATTTTTAAAAAGCATTCTAGGTTGTTGCACTTTTTCACTTTTTTGTTATGTGCGCGGTTTTTAATAAAACTTACAGTACAGTTGCTTGACTAGATTGATCTCACGATAGTTAAGCCTCAAGTTTTACCTAAATGATAACAAAAAAAGCATGTATTCTTCACAACTATTTTGAAGTTATGGCCAGAGTAAGCACGAAACTCGAAAATTTTGGAAAAATCCGAAAAAAAGTCATAACTCCTGTACTAAAAAGGGTCGGACCATATACATGGGGGTAATTCGGATACCTCTCGACTGAGAACCTATTTTTATGACCATTGTTTGCCAGCTTGCAGGTCGTTAAAATTTTAGATCATAAAGGCCATATTGTAAGATCTGAAAGTAGTTTGCTATTATGCTCGGCATCGCTCTAACACACGCCTTCGTGGACGATGTACAAAATCAGTTGCACTACCGTATGTTAGATAAAATAATTAAGGCTGTCAAAAGTAGATTTTATGAGGATTTAAACTACGGAAATGTGTTATTTAGATAACTTTTGATAAGGTTAGTTTTGAACATATTTTCTCTCATGTCTACAGGCTTGAAACTAAGCATTATATTAAGTAAATTATAGTCAAATTTCTCTGAAAGTAGTACAAACTAATCTGATGTACCTATTAAAGTCTACTTTAAGCTTTAAATCAATAAATCTTCAAAACTACTGAACTGAAGCTCATTTATTTTACATCATTATAAAGGGAATTGATCTTTAAAATAAGATATCACTCGACTCTACTTTCCATTTAAGATTTTAGGATTGGTGTCACCCCCGCCCAGGGGGCTGCACGTGTTAACGTGATTTTTTGCCAAACTTGTGTCCCCCTCGAAAACAAAATCGACGGGTCTGAGCGTTTTTCCAAAAAAAAAACTGGGCTGCCAGTAAATGCGTCTGTTTCGTTTTCCACGCGCCACCCTGTATATTGAATTTCAAAAAACAATTGACTATACCTATTGATATTTTTGTCACCTGCTGCTGTAATAGACGTGCTTGATTGTGTCAGTATTTGTACCAATTACACTTTATTTGTTTAATGGGCAGTTCAGAGTCTAAACCCTTAAGCTTAGTACACACTAGTAGACCCCGTTGCGCAATTTGTCTATAGGCAGTCTGGAGACGGTCTCAAGACAGGATCTATAGATGGTATATAGGCATTCTTCTTAGTGTCGTCTAGCGTCCATACGATAATGTGAATTTTTCGGTCTCATGTTAGTGTTCGCCATCAAAGACATTGTTTTGTGTGGAATTGTTTGGGATATGCCTCTCAGAATGTTTTTTTTCGATTAACAGAGCGATTAAGTTTTTTATGTTTCAATCTTTAATATTATTACACTAGTTAATTATAAATGCCACGTACTTATTTCGTTCTCATATAATAAGATATTGCGTTTCTGAGGATTTCTGAGCATTTTCCATGGTTTTTTTTCAAGCTGGCATTGACCAGATAGAACACAATGGATTTAAGGAGAAATAATAGAATAAATTCTGAAAGTTCCACTGAGGTTGACAAATTACCAGCTCCCCTCCCCACTTGAGCCAAGTGAATAGACCGTTATCGTTAATGTCTACAACACTATCACTTTCCAAGAAAACTTAAAAGAACCAGACAGTTTCCTTTTAATTCGCCCTAACTGGGTGCTTCTGGTTCCATAGGAAGTCTGGGATAGGAAGTCCTACATGAACGTAGATGTTCCGCTTTGCCCATTTTCATGGTAAAAAGTAGGATATACTTTTAAAGTTTGGCCTGACCATAAACTTGAAGGTCACTGTCAAGGTCAAATCCATGATCACTATTGGCCAGTCTGGCAGAAAATTTAGCAACAGTATGTTTTACTTATTCTCTAATAATATCATATTAAGACTTATGTTGTTTTCCCATATCTATCAAGATAATAATTGGGGGTTTCTGGGTTCCGTAGGGGGTAAGGGAGGGGGAACAGGGGGTTGACCCCATGGGGACTTTTCATTGCCATGTTGAACGCTACATCTATGTGAAATTTCAACAAATTTAGCTGAAAGCCAGTTTCCGTAAGGAAATTGCCTGGTTCTTTGCCTCAGCAGATCAAAGAAAAAAGAATCTAAGACGGATCCTTACAATTAGAGGTCTATTATTTTCCTCTCTGGTATAAGAAAGGTGATAGAGAGATGCATAAGCCGGGAGCTCCTTGAGTACCTTGATTAGCGACAGGCATATGGTTTCACGAAACTGTGGTGAGAATTCATCCAGTCTTACATATATGTCGTTGCTCTTGAAAGCATTCGATCAGCTGTAGCATCCTTCCCTCTTATGAAAACCTCCATCCTACAGTCTCTCTGGCCGCAAGATATCCATCGTAATTGACGGGTTATCTTCTTCCCACACAATGTCAAGGCGGGAGTTCCCCAAGGATCATTCTAGGCTACGACAGTGGTCCTTTTACATATCAAATTTTCCTTTCCTACACGATCAATCCGATTCACAGCTGTGCTGGTGACAGCACTCAACGTTCAGGAATTAAGAGCGACAAGTATTATGTAAAAAACGTAAAAAACGACTAAATGTTATCTTTTAGACTAGGTAGTTTTTAGTTTGCAAATAGTTCATTCCACCTTTGCTCACTATGATCGCTGTTAGCGTCATAAAAAGCGTCCATCTATGGAGAAATGACTCAACGACATGCTCAAGCATGCATAATTTGTTGCAGAAAGTCAAGGTAGTGTTTATCTCTGAGAAGGTGTGAAAGAAATAAAGTTGGTTGACTAGCAAGATGATTATGTGTATTGGTCTGCCAAGCTATAAATTACGATTTTTCTCGCTTCTTTTTGCGTTTTCATAAACTTTGAACAGAATTACGGGAAATCACCACCGCGCCCGCGTTGTGTGTAATTACTATTAGCATGTATATCTCTTGTAATTCGACGTACAACAGCTTGTACTAAGTTAACATCTTGTAGAAAAACCTTCGTTATGTCACAAGGAACCTAAAAAATGTCAAAAAACCGACAGCATGTCACTTTTCAGGATACGTAATCTCTGACGAGAGACCTGGAGAAATGTGAAAATGTACTATTATTAGAAAAACGTGGTGTTACGGATATATGAAATCTTAACTAATATCGCATATGGAACTACTCATATGATGTAAATGTCTTAGCAATAATTGTCCCTTCTATTTTAAATCCAGCAATGAGAAAAGTAATACAGATCCTATGTTTTTTGTTCACTTCATTCATGCCTCATTCATAATTGACTTTCAGATTGAACTGAAAGGTATTGTATACAATAAACGTGTTTGATTACGCTAGAACATTTTTTATTTGTAAACATATGAAAAAAAAAGGTATTGTTAAATAACAGATGTAATGACTAGTCAAGCAGGTATAAAAAGCCAATTTCCTGAATCCGTTTTTGATAAACAGGTAAAAATATTATAGAGCTTAATACTGAGTCAGGCCGACCAATACTGTGAAGAATATCTTATTCTAAGGCTTATATGATGAGAGAGAAGAAAGTTAAAACGTACTTTGTAGCTACTATGTCTTTTACCTCTTGGTCGAAACATATCGCTATAGGTTGGTATCCTACGGTACATTTTGTCGAAAGTATGGCATGATCTATTGCTTCATGCCTCAAATTACCTCTACTTCAACAATTTGTTCAAAAATAGTTACATTCAAAGTATACAGGGTGTTAGAACATTTTCGTCAGAAAAATCTAGGGGTAGTACGTAAAAAATATGAAAAATCACGCAAACCTTTTTTCTTGAGGAAAAGTGTACGTCACTGGTTTTCTCATAGTAATATCGATTAGCTTGAAGACTGCCTCTACAAGATTTTCGTTATGTGCGTTAAGTACTACTGTCAGTAATGATATGCATACATATTTATATTATTGATATTCAGTTTTATTTCGAGCAAGAAGCCATGGTATGGATTTTTTCATTTTAGTGTCGTGTATTTGCAACCAGTTTTTCTCTAAAATTCGGTAACACTATGTAATGATTTCAATATCAGGTTCAAATGAAACCTTCACATCCAAGCAAATTCAGCTTGGGATTTTTTGATTGTGTTGGTTATTGCATTAAAACATAAAACGAAACTTAAAAAGCTTGTTTATTGTATTTAACACATCCTACGGTGCTCTTCAAGAAGTCATGGAAGTTGCTCTCGAGGCCACGAGCTCCCTGAAAACATCTCGGAATGCCTGCGTAGTCAGGTAGTTTTCTGACGACTTGTACACTTCTTGAGATGATCTCAGAATGGTTCCAACTTCCCATGTGAAGACATCTGGACTGTCTTCATATCTGAAGAATAGAACTGACCCATTGTCGGTACTCAGGGCCACCAGTTTGGGTCCATTAGCCCTGATGGGGGATCTGGAAGAACCTGGGTCCAGACAAGTAGGTGATCGGCAAGAAGTTGGATGTAGGTCTGCGGATCAGAGCTATGTACAAAACGTCTCTCTTGCTTCCAGCGACAACGTTTGCGAAGGCGAATCGGTATCTCTATCCCCACCGCTCCCTCGTCAACCCAGCTACAATCATTGTTAACAGATTCTTCGATAACAAGCCTTGCTATTGATTCCTTCATTTTAGCGCCGTGTATTTGCCCATCAGTTTTTCTCCAACATTCTGTAATACTATGTAATAATTTCAATATCAGGTTCAAATAAAACCTTCACATCCAAGAAAATTTAGTTTGGGATTCTTTGATTGTGTTGGGTATTGCATTAAAACATAAAATGAAACTTAAAAAGCTCGTTTATTGTATTTAACAGGTAGCATGAGGTTGAGGAAGGTTGCTGATCATAATTGCTACTCTTTGGAAGCTCCACAGCCTACGGTGTTCTTCAAGAAGTCCTGGAAGTTGCTCTCCAGGATACGAATCCTTTTCCTGGAAATATCTGGGAATGCCTGGGTGGTCAGGTAGTTTTCTGGGGACTGGTACACCACTTGACATGATTTTAGGATGGCTCCAATGTCCCATCTGTAGACATCTGGACTGTCTTCATGTCTGAAGAATAGAACTGACCCATTGTCGGTACCCAGGACAACCAGTTTGGGTCCCTTCGCCCCGATGCCTTGGATTTTGCCGTCAGCGCAATCCGCTCTTAAGAAGTCGGTCTTAATCTGAGTCCAGACAAGTAGGTGGTCAGAAAGAAGTTGGATGTAGGCCTGCGGATTGGAGCTATGTACAAAACGTCTCTCTTGCTTCCAGCGACAGCGTTTGGGAAGGCGAATCGGTATCTCTATCCCCACCGCTCCCTCGTCAATCCAGCTACAATCATTGTTAACAGATTCTTTGATAACAAGCCTTGCTATTGATTCCTTCATTTTAGCACGTGGATTTGCCCACCACTTTTTCGCCAACACTCTGTAATACTATGTAATAATTTCAATATCAGGTTCAAATAAGACCTTCAGATCCAAGAAAATTTAGTTTGGGATTCTTTGATTGTGTTGGGTATTGCATTAAAACAGAGAATGAAACTTAAAAAGCTCGTTTATTGTATTTAACAGGTAGCATGAGGTTGAGGAAGGTTGCTGATCATAATTGCTACTCTTTGGGAAGCTCCACAGCCTACGGTGTTCTTCAAGAAGTCCTGGAAGTTGCTCTCCAGGACACGAATCCTTTTCCTGGAAACATCTGGGAATGCCTGGGTGGTCAGGTAGTTTTCTGGGGACTTGTACACCACTTGAGATGATTTAAGGATGGTTCCAACTTCCCATCTGTAGACTTCTGGACTGCCTTCGTATCTGAAGAATAGAGCTGACCCGTTGTCGGTACCCAGGACAACCAGTTTGGATCCCTTGGCTCCGATGTCTTGGATTTTGCCAGCAGCACAACCCGCTCTTAAGAAGTCGGTCTTAATCTGGAAGAACCTGGATCCAGACAGGTAGGTGATGAGCAAGAAATTGGATAAAGGTTTGCGGATCAGAGCGATGTACAAGACGTCTCTCCTACTTCCAGCTACTGCGTTTGGAAGGACGACTCGGTATCCTTTGTTGCCAGCTACATCGAATACCAGGATTGAGCGAGTGGCAGCATCACTTACGTAAACGAAAGGTCTACCGTCAGGAGCGTACTCAGTCACGACATATTGCAATCTAGAAGCAGGAACTACCAGACCGCACAGATCTACTGTCTTGACCTTCTTCTGGGTGAGGATGTTGATACCAACGACCTTAGGTGCTGCCTTACGGATTGGGCAATCCAGAGAGTTGACCACTCCGGTATCAAGCACCCACAGGATTTGGTTTTCATCTAGGTAGATATCTACAACAGACTGTAGAGCGGTGCTGTCGCCTTCTTCTTGAGCTGCCCAGCACGGGTATGGCTCAAGGACTGCTTCGCATCCGCGTTGCGCTCTAAGGTTTACTCTTGCCAAAGTGGCAGGGACTCCAGGTCTGTACCTGGGAAGAGCCACAAATACTTCAGTCTCTGTAGATTTGGGCTCTGGTAGCAATCACATTTCTGGGGATGTAGCGGCCAGACGATCTGTAGATGCTCTTTGTAGCCTCATTTGGCCAGTCGAAGTGTCCACCGGTCCATTCGATTAACTCGCAACTGTTCTGTATCTGGGCTTCCACGTACAAGAGCCCCACGGTGAATAAAAGGAGCTTTGCGATCATTTTTCTGGAAAAGAAGATGGAAAAGGGTAAAGATATACATGAGACATATAAACTTAAGCAAATATGAGTAGGCAGCAAATTAATTAAATGTCATCTAGATTCTAGAACATGCATGGAGGTTTTTGCGTAACTCTATAAAAGAAAACACCAGTTTGTACCTATTAGGGACAAGTATCCTATCTTGAATCATTTTTTTCAAATATCTTATATCTTTATCATGAATTCGTGAATCATCAATAACTATATAATCATGTTTTTGGAAACCGAAAATCCACAATCTTATGCAAAGTCCCATTATTCTACGAATTGAAAAATTACCAAGCCTCGCCCAATTTTTTTACAAGTCTGAGTACATAATGTTTCAGATGGTTCAAACTAAATTCTCGTTATATAAGCTTTTCACGAGGGAATCAAATTTACTACTATCCGACATGTTAGTGGAGGTAGCTAAAGAAAAAACCAAATGTGAAGAATTCCAAATTTAAAAAAAGAAAGATTACCAAATCCGAAAAGTGATAGCTAACAGTTACTGTCTATTCATCCGTACAAGCAAAAATCTACATAATGGCATAAAAGATGGAAAACCTACCTTGTTATCGTCTAACAAGAATCAAATGATATGCACGAGTATGAATTTTTTTCTTTATATATTTCGTATTGTTGTTTAAGATATCAAACGTTTCTATTTTGTAACGATACGTGCCAGTATGTGGTTTGGTTCCGGTAACACTTTATAAAACATAGTTGTTTCGGAAGCAGTGATAAAAACAAAATACAAATATTTAAATAAATATCAAGCATCTGCTTAGTTTATGCAACTCATCTTGTATATGATAATTTGACAATTTTAGTAGTAGTAGTAGAAAGATTTATTTAGCACATTTGGCTACATAAACAGAACAATTTAGAACTAGTAAATTCAAGCCATATGGTGTATGATGTAAATGCTGGGCAACCTATAATTGTAGATTTAACAAGTGATTTCTCAATTTTACTTTAAATTTTGTCAAAGTTTTCTGGTCTTTTATCTCCGAGTATAATTTATTATATTCAATCAACCCTTGATGGAATACAGATTTGTAGCACATGTTATACTTTTTGGTCATTAAATGGAAGTGATCTTTATTTCTGGTATTATGTAAATGATGGTCGACATTTGATGATGTTAAATTAGTTAGACTTGATGGAAATATATTATTTTTTACTTTATAAATGAATATCATTACAAGATATTTGATAAAATTTTTTACATTGAGCCATTTTAATTTGCTAAGCATTTGCCTAATTGGAGTATATTTATCTTTATTTAGTATTATTTTCATGCACTTATTTTGTAAAATTTGCAGTCTTTCAAAAATGGAATTATTTGCTAAATATAGAATAGTCGAACAGTACAAGAAATTTGGAAGAATGATGGTATTATAGATAATTTTTCTGCTATATGAACTCAGACATCCAGAAACTCTCGATAAATATCCCACTTTACTACTAATCTTATTTATAACTTTTTCATAATGAATATCAAAAATTAATCGAGAGTCAACAAAAACCCCCAGGTATTTAAAATTTTCTACGAATTCAATATCTTCACCATCAATATTCAGTTGAACATTTGTACATTGTTTTTTTTCCGATTAACAAGGCTTTCGTTTTACTTGCATTTAATTTTAGTCTGTTAGATGCTAACCATTTTGAGACAAGCTTCAAGTCTTCATTTATATAAGAGATACCAGACTGAATATTTTTAGTACTTATATAAATCATAGTGTCATCGGCGAAAATCTGAATTTTGCATTTTTTGACTATGGCAGGTAAATCATTTATGTATAAAATAAATTATTGTTCATAAAGTAGCAAAATATTAATGTAATATTAAAAATATCTTGCAGCACCTGTTATCCCAACTTATCGATCACCTTACTGTCTGCGCTAACAGGCGAGAAGAGACATGTATCTGTTAGCTATGTTGTAAAACAAACGATAATCACCCGTCAATTCGTTTGCCTGTCTCTCCAGTAATGCTTGAAGCTTCCTCTTTAAATCCAATTTTGAGGTTTTTGTAAGTCGATCCAGAGACGACGAATTACGTAGCAAAGACTAAAGTTTTGACTGTCTCTCCGTTTTTGAGTTCCTAATAATTGTTGGGCGTAGTCAAACAGTTTTTTGCAGCGGCTGGATATTAAAAAAGCAGCTACACTTACACATTTTGTAATCAACTACTGGTGGCAGATCAATTTTTTTTTGTATGTGGATTTTAAAAGTACGAGAACGTGGATAAACGTGTCCAATGCGAGTAATTAAAAAAATAACACTCATTTTTGTGTCTGTGAAGCACTGAGTTGGTCTACTTGACTTTGAAATTATGTTAAAATAATAGAATATTTAGAAAATTGAGTTGATTCTTGTACTGGGAAAACTGAACACCGTGTATATGTTTGCTTTCGATATCATTCTCGTCACCACCAGTTGAATCTCTCCCCACGCTAATATGCTTGCCAAAATGGTCAGCATCAAGCCTTCTGTCTCAATTTTCTCATAGTAAGTCCATCTACCTCCTTATGCTGGTGACCCTCCAATGAATGTAGCCTCGAACTTGTAGTCAAATTGTTTGAGCTTGTGAACAAATTTATTATATATAACTATTGCTGTATCACAATGCTTAATGTCCTTTTATGCGGGTTTGATTTTTCTCTGGATATGCTGACCAGAAACAGTAATAAGAAAATGTTGCCTAGATGTGTAGAAAAGATTGGCCAACAAATCGACAGAGCTACAGACCGACAGGCCGAAAAACCGACGGAAATGACTGACATGGTTTTTCAAAATACTTTCGCAATTATACTTCCTCGCCACAGATGTTAAAAGTGAAAAATATAATCTGAATGTAGCTTTACTTAAAGCTGATTAGGGGCGGTGCATGATGATCAAACCTTGTATTTATCAGCTAGAGAATTTACATCTGTTATGAAATTACGGACCTTGACCATTGAGTTGTCCAAGCAATTCTAAATTTTTTTTTTAGAGGTATAGAACTTTAAATTGCAATAAAACAACGATGGATTATTCGATTGACATGCATTTTTTTTATTCGAAAGATAATCTTGTGAAATTATATTTTAAATATGATTTCTGGCATATGACTGTCACGGCTGGCTCGGATGTAGTCCAATCTGGACGTCCAATTTTCGATGACTTTTTCCAACATTTGTGGCCGTATATCGGCAATAACATGACGAATGTTGTCTTCCAAATGGTCAAACGTTTGTGGCTTATCCGCATAGACCAATGACTTTACATAGCCCCACAGAAAATAGTCTAGCGGTGTTAAATCACAAGATCTTGGAGGCCAATTCACAGGTCCAAAACGTGAAATTAGGCGGTCACCAAACGTGTCTTTCAATAAACCGATTGTAGCACGAGCTGTGTGTCTTGTTGGAACCACAGCTCCTGGACATCATGATTGTTCAATTCAGGAATGAAAAAGTTAGTAATCATGGCTCTATACCGATCACTTGATTGACTGTAATGTTCTGGCCATCATCGTTTTTGAAGAAGCACGGACCAATGATTCCACCAGCCCATAAAGTGCACCAAACAGTCATTTTTTCTGGATGTAACGGTGTTTCGACATAGACTTGAGGATTAGCTTCACTCCAAATGCGGCAGTTTTGCTTGTTGACGTAGCCATTCAACCAGAAGTGCGCTTCATCGCTAAACAAATTTCGTTTTTGAAAATCGGGGACAACGGCAATCTCGTTTTGGGCCCATTCAACGAATCTACGCCTTGCTTGATGATCGTTTGGCTTCAATTCCTGCACGAGTTGGATTTTGTAAGCACGCAAACCAAGAACCTTCCGCAAAATCTTCCATAAAGTGGATGGACACAGATCCAATTCCTGTGCTCGATTTCGGATGGACTCATTCGGGTCTTCCTCAATGCTACGCTCTACAGTAGCAATAACTTCTTCTGTACGCACCGTACGGCGTCTCTGGGGATGCGAGCTATCAATTAGAGTAAACGTGGTGCGAAAACGTTCCATGGTTAATCGAATTAGGCGTGAGTCTATTCATGATGAATTGCCAAACCAAACTGAAAATAAATCACTTGACAGCTGTCAAATCGGTCGCCATCTTCAAAAGTAATGTCAACTTAAAGTTCTATACCTCGAAAAAAGACACCCTATATATTTGACATATTCTAATAAAGGATAGTAATAGGCATTATTTTGGATCCTATGCTGTGTTCTGACACCTTACTCGTGATACACTTTCAATTGTTGTAATTTTTTACTGACATCCGCATGCCAAGTCCACCCACTTCACTGTTTGACTTAACTAATATTTAAAAAATCATCAAAGGTCATCTGCTGCAATGCTTTAACAATTTAAGACCTCTGAAATATCATGCTCCATTGTTCGGTAGTGCACTCTGCACTATAATTACTTTTCAATATTTTACATAACAATATGCAAATTATTATTCACTGGCGATTTGGCGACTAGCTGTTTCAGCCCAAGGATCTAATTAGAAGAATGAGATGTAAATGTCAGGATATTTACGATGTGTACTTTAAAAAAGGAATGCCGTCAACGTATTTCAAAACTTTATAAAAAAATGAGGGCGTGATTTGGCTCGATCGAATCAGTATGTTTAAGGTTTCTTTTTGGTTTAAGATTTGACGGCCCAGGGTACATTTGCCTCATTCCGCTGTCCAAAAAGTTTTTGGGGCTCAAACTTTTCAGAAAATTTTCTATCGGAGTTGTTTTTTGCTTTTCAAAGAACTTCTGGAAAATTCTTGCCGGCGCACATGGTAATTGGAGTAATGCGAAATTAAATTACATAGGTCTTGACAGTGTATCCCTTTCATTTTTCGACAGTTACCTTCATCAAAGAACTCAGTGTGTTTTTCTCAATCAAGAAATGTCTCAAGTGACAATAGTTCCCTCAGGTGTACCTCAGGGCTCTGTATTGGGACCGCTTCTGTTCCTCATATATACGTTCGCCTTAAGCAAAAGTATTGATAATTCTCATGTCCAGTCATTTGCAGACGATACGCAATTGCTTCATTATTTTAACCCAGATAATGTCAATAATACTACACAAATTTTACAAAACGATGTTAATAAATTAATTAAATACTCTTTAGATCACAATCTACTTATTAATCCACAAAAATCTAAAATGTTATTATTTTGCGCACAAAGAAAAACATACAATGTAACACTGCTCTTGAACATTCAGATAAATAACCAAATCTTGCAATTTTCTGATTCTGCAAAAATTCTTGGTGTTGTTTTTGATACAAAATTAAGGTTTATTGAACATGTTAAAAGTCTATCTCAGAAAACCTACCTACGGCTGCGCACTCTTATAGCAAACAGGTATTTACTAAATTTTAAGATGCGTAAAAAACTATGTGAAGCATTGGTCATATCTATACTAAATTATTGTAATATCGTATACTATACTTGTTTAGACAATTTCACTAAAAACGTTATTCAAGTTATTCAAAACAATTGTATACGATTCATTTTTGGCTTACGTAAATTTGATCATGTATCGGCGAAATATCCCGTTCTAAACTGGTTAAAAATTAATGACATGGTCAAGTATCACTATTCAGTTTTTGTTCACAAATTGCTGCTCATGTCTAAACCTTATTACTTGAAGGAAAAAAATTCATTTAATAATGATGTTCACTGTAGAACTATCAGAGAAAATAATATTAGAATACCCCTGCATACGTCTACACTTTTTAAACGCAGTTCTTCTTACAATGTTGCTATTATTTATAATGACCTTCCTAAAGTATATAAAGAATTTTCATTACATGTCTTTCGACAAAAAGTTAAAATATTATTACTCAACCCTCGGAACATATAATTTACGTAATCATTCATTTCTTTTTTATTCCATCTTTAATTCAGATTAATAATTTTTTGGTGCATTTGGGTTTGGAAAGTATGCCTTTTTCTCTTTTTTTTTAAATTTTACTTTCGATGTAATGAACCAAATCTGTTTGTGGATAGTGTATTCTTTTGAACATCTGCTAGAGACTATATGGTTAAGTGTAAGAGTAGCAGCATGCTAAACTTCGCCATATAAGTCTGACATTTGGCTATACTACAATGTAATTGTGGATAAATAAAGACGTCTATTATTATTATTAAATGTTTGGTGTCACCAAGATCAAAGGCCGACAGTCGCCGTCACATCTAATAAATTCAGACTAGGCAGTAGGAGGAAGCATCGATTGGTATGTTTCCAAAATCTCAGTCTGTAGTCAGGATGAAAGTGCATACTACAAGTGACCTTGGTATAAATGAATTTTTTGACAGTTCTGTTATTAAATTCGTATTTCTACTGTTATATTTGAAGGTGCAAACGTTTGCACACAATTGTAGCTTTCAACGATTTTATTACATGCTACTTCTTGAATAACTTTCAAAGAGCGGCACAGAAGGTAGATCTTTACACCGGTGAGTATTATTGTGTTGATACAACGTTGTCATCTTGGTAGTGCACTGAAACTATGCAATTTTTGGCGACTAACAATGCAATGTAAACAAATAGGCATTTGGTTCCTTCTTATCTATTCAGAAGTGGGATCAGAGGGCAGCCTCTGGCGAGCCTGAGCAAATAATTTGGAAGGTCGCTGAGAGAGGATTTCGAGGCAATATTTCCTAAAGTCTCTCGATATCTCCGTCAATACGGGCCCTAGTACCTATCTTTAGATTAGCACAACCATGCTCGGGTACAACTTTTGGTTTTCAGGACATCATGGAGTTGGAGCGCAAGAGTACACTTAACTTCGCTATGAGGGCTGGTCTAGAAGTCTAGCATGTGTATAAAGAAAGAGAATATGTATTTCTCGATTACCGAAATACGTCCATTTTGTTTGAAGTTTGTACACAGGGTGGATGTACAAATTTGAGTTGGGCATTTAGCCGTTTTAATTGAGGTAATTTCATCATTTTCAGACTTAGAAATACGTCCAAAGTTAAAGTTTGGAAGCTTCTATAACCTTCATTCAAGAGAAATTGATGTGTGGAATCTAGCCTGTATTATCGAAAAGCCAACCCTTAACTAAAGCTCTGTACAGCGTCACCAAATTTTAATGAATTATTTCTTGGGTGATTCTAAGAAAAAAGCATGACAAATAGCGTGTATAGACGTATCGCCAAAAATTTAACTAATGCCATTTGAGATAAATCCTTTATTAAAACTACAAATTTGTGATGACCTTATTTAACTTTTTCATTTGGAAGTTTGAGCTTTATTAATCCGTTTCCCTTACCCGATTCTTATGTAAGTTTCGACTATACGTCTGTGATTTCGATATATTCAAACCAAATCTGAAGTGTTTTCATATTTTTTAAGAAATAATGATTCTTTTAGAAAAGTTTGTCTATCCTAATCTTTGAAACAAACCATTCCTGGACCTTGAACTTTGGCGCACCTTGCATATTACTTAGAAGAATTCAGACATTCGATCGTTTATGGTAATCATTGAAAATTTCCAATTAAATAATTTTGTCACTATTATAGCTTTGTTACTAAAAGATTATGCATAAACTATAGTAAACATGACATAATTCCGTAACACCTCGGAAGTACTTGCAGAAACAAATACGAAAAGTGCAATGACATCGAAAAACGTAATGGATTCAATAACCTGTCCGCTTAGTACAGAGTCGACAATTACCATTTTCAATGCCAGGGTACTTTTGAAATCAAAATAACACAGTTATTTATAACAACATTCTGTTGTTTCCAAACATTTGTCCTTTTCCTGTTCATATAAAACTGAGTTCTTAATTTCTGGTCACACAGTTTGCCCCATTTTAACCTAGGGGAAGAATAGGTAACGTTTATTTCTTTGTTGTTTCCATGTAGATAAGTGTCATAGCTCGTGATTCCAATCGTCTCACCTTCGGGCAATGAGCCAAATTTTTTAGTTTAGTTTAATTAAAATTCCTAGCGTTTCATCTGTGCACGCAAAACACCAGCAATTTTCGACGAAACCAGCTGAAGAACTATAAAGATTTTATCGAGATTTTAAAAAAATGTTTTGAAAACCAGGCATTATTGTAGGTTTATTTATATGAACTTGTTGTCTAAGGATAACCACTCGGAGTTTGTACAGATACTTTCCTATCTCTGCAACTTTAAACCAAGTGCACAAATGAAATTTTTGTAATGTCATCAGACTCAAATGTTCAAGTCTTGAAATACAATCAATGCAAAATGGAACTTAATTAATAAATACAGTGATTTCATGTCAAGTATGGAGTGATATGAGAATAGGTTTCAGCTTTATACAGGAATTTTCAATCAGTTATTAGTAATTCACTGACATAGCGATAGTTTGGGGCTCCTGTCATATGATGTCATATCTGTCAACGCGTTCATATTTTTGGATTAACTGTTATACCTAGTAAAATCATTACGTGCATGACCTGATTGACTATAAAGTATTTTTCCATTTACAGGTTATCAAAATGGGCTTATACTCCATCCTATGCATATCGTCAGTGCTTGTCGTCAGTGCCTACGCTGGCTGCTCGAAGAACCTTGTGAGCGACTTAACCTACAAGCTGTCTGGTTACGAAATCGCCTTCCCATGCGAGAGCACCAAGAACATCTACAAGAACACCGGCAGCTACATCCCCAGGCATATCATCGCCACCAGAATGCAAATCTGGAAAGACGAAGCCTACGTAGCCCTGCCTAGGTATAAGCATGGCGTGCCTTTCACCCTTGGCAAGTTCAGCTTGAAGCAGAAGGGATGCAGACCCCAGATCCAGCCGTTCCCTACGTGCTGGGCCATGCAAGAAGAGGGCAACTGCGACTCGCTGCAAAATGTTGTGGACATCTCCATCGATACCCAGAACCAATTGTGGGCTCTGGACACCGGCATCGTCAACACCTTGCAACAGCCCATCCTTCGTTGCTGCCCCAAGTTGGTCGGTTTCAATTTGTTGACCAGCATGACTGTCAAAATAATTAACTTGAAGCCATACGTTGTCCCCGAGTCTCGCTTACAACACGTCATAGTTGACTATACCAAAGAAGGAATTGCTTTCGCGTACATTGCTGATGGTGGTTCTGGCGCTATCATCGTGATCAACTTGGTCTTGGGAACTGGATTCAGAATCGTTCTCCCTAAAGCAATCACCGATCACTGCCAGAAAGATGTCCTGTACATCCAACTTGCCAGAAAGCCTTCCGGAAATGTACTGTACTTCTCATACTTGTCATCAGGAAGGTTATTCTCTATCAAAGCAGACTTCCTCCAAAAAGGATTGGCCACAGGTACCGTTGTCGATGTTGGAGCTAAGCCCCAGTGCACTGGCTTGGTACTTTTGGGTACTGATAATGGAGCTGCCTTGATCTTCAGATACAAAGGCGAGTCGGACATCTACATCTGGAATACTGAGACTCACTTCAAGCCAGATAACTTCATTCTTGTCCAAAAGGGAGACGACTGCAGACTGGCTACTCAAGTTGTGGCTGGATACAAGAAACTTATGTGGGTTATTGAAAGCAACTTCCCTGATTTTGTGCTGGCCACTGATGGCAGTCTGGGACCAAATGTTGCCGTCCATCCTCTTATCAAAACCTACGAATAGGTGTTTTATTTGTTGAACCAAAACTGTGATCTCGTTTAATAAAAAAGTTTCTGTTGGAGAACTGTGCCTTATTCTGACTTCCTGTACTACCGTTTGTATACGTTTTTTACGCATGACAAGTTGTATTCATTAAGCCACAATTAATAGGAATGCCTAAGATATGCAAATGTTCGAGGCAATGTATCGACACATATTTCAGTAGTCTTTGAATGACATCGACCAATTCGTTCCTGACATAACGCCTAAGACATTTGCGTGGGTTTTCATGAGAAACTCGATATTGTCCCATATTAGTCAATTTTTACAAGAAACAAATTTACAAAAATGCTTAAAGATGTATCATATGGAGCATAAGGGATATTAAAACGTTGGCATAAAATTTGAAGAAAATTCCGTATCTCGTTCTTTGAAATTTTAGCTCCGCACGGGTATTATGTATGTTGAAAAGTGACATTTTGTCGGGTTTCCTTGACATCTTTTAGGTTTTTTTTTTGACATAACGTCGCTTTTTACACAATATGTTAATTTAACACTAGCCGTTGTATAATTGTTTTGAACCGTTATGTAGCTGTACGTGTTGCCTAGACGTCATGACGCTTAGGTGTTTAGTGAGGATTTGTGTGCTAATAATCTGTTATCAAAACTATAGGTTTCTTGTCTCAAATACACTTCCTCGAGATTCAAAGCTAGAAATTAGTTGCGCAACCTTTTTTTCTTATTCATTCTGGAAATTACATATGCAAATTTGCTGACCTTCAAATGTGAGATATAAGAAAAGAAAATCCCTGGTTGGTGGAGTAATTAACTTTATGTGGAATCTTATATTTTATATTTGCACATATTGCAATTGAATTCACTGTACACTGTATAATTACAAGTCATATACATTGTTAACAGTAAGTACACACAACGCGGGTGCGATGGTGATTTTCCATAATTCTCCTCAAAGTTTTTGGAAACACAAAAAAACGGGAAAAATTGTAATTTATATCGTTGAACATAACATGTTTTCAGAAAGGACAAGATATAAATAACCGGTCGGGCACAGCGAATAGATATACTTCATTGGCAGCATATTCAGTAATAATTTTCTTGAATAGCAAATATCGCTGATTCTAGACACATAATCATCCAGAGGCGATATTGCTACTCAACCAACTTTCTTTCTTTCACATCTTCTCAGAGATAAACACTACTTGGCTTTCAGCAACCAACAATGCATGTCGTGTCGTGGAGTTGAGTCATTCCTCCATAGATGGCGCTCTCAGCGATCATAGCGAGTAAATGTGAAATGAACTATTTGTATACTACCTAGTCTGCAAGATGATATTTTGTCGGTTTTGTTTAAGTTTTTAACATAATATGCCTGATAGTTCGTGGGTTTCCGTCTTATTGGTGGTTTCCTATATTATTTCTTATATCAAGGAAAACAATTATAAAATCATATAGTGGCAACATTTACAGATTCCGAACAGTAGAGCTGCCTATTGAGAAACAGCAGTTTTAAGCTTTAGAGACAACCAAATCCGGCGACAGATACTCCTTACCACGTCTGTCAAAGATGAGTTAGTTCCTCCTTTTTCGACTACGTAAATATGTTACACGCAACGTTATTAATGAAGCTGAGCAATTATCCTCTATCCAGGATATCTATCGAAATAAGCAGAAAGTGCCATCTATTACCAAAATCAACCACTGCAAGAGTGAAAGCGGTAAGCTGCTTTATATGTATATAGTTGTTATAAATAACAATAACAGTAATCTTTATTTGCAAATATAAATGCTATACACAGCTGTTAATCACTTGCAATACAAACATGTCAACCAAACAAAATTAACGATAAAATCTTACTCTAAATCATGTTATTCAATCCAGATTTAGTAATACTTTTATATAATATTTTTTAGAATGCATTTTAGTTTTACAATCTTTTTCACAACTGCTGGTAAATGGTTAAAAAGCCTTTTGCCAAATAATGCTAATCTATGCATGGGATAAATATAGTTAAAAACTCTCGTATGGCTACTTGTAGCCTCATTAACAGTGCACAATCGCTTATTTTTAAATAGATATATAGGGGCACTCTCAAATAAACACTTCAAAAACCGATAAAATACCGAATTGCTTGAATTTGCTTTTACATAATTCATTCAACTTCAAACCTAAAATATTTCTCAATATTCTCTTTTGTATTGAAAAATCCCATCAAAGTCACTACAGTTTCCGCATAACATAATTCCATACCTTAATCTAGATTAAAAATTTGAGTGATACACAACTTTCAAAGTTTTTCTATCCAAATATTCAGCAATAATTTTTATAGAATAACATACCTTATTGAACTTATCTAACTTATATGGTTGTGCTACCTGAGGTAACTATCTAATTCAAGACTAAGAAATCTAGTATTGCCAAATACTGTAATTGTTATACCATTGTGACAAATTGAATTTTAAAAATTTGCTCTACAGTGAGTAGTTCGAAAAAACATAGCACAACTTTTAGTTTTATTAAGAATTGTTCTATTATTAGAAAAAAAAACAGGTTTGTTTATTGTCCATATTATATCCTCCCCCACCACATGCATTCTCAGTTATGAACAAATTTGTGTCATCTGCATACTTCGTGATTTCACCCTGATGACATTCGCAGAGCGACGAATCTTGTTCATGAAGTAAGAAATGCTCTTCATGAATTCCACAATGAGCAATGGAACGACTTTCTGGCGGTCCTGGGGACATAGTCTTCAGGACAGAGGACAAGGTCGAGGTTTTCGCTGATGCTATGGAACGACAGTTTTCCCCAACTATGATCTTGATAATGATCTCGACGAGGAGCAACAAATTGTAAGATCCGTTAGGAGATATTTTAGGGTCAACGGCGTCAACGATCCCGGCGCCGCCATTAGTGTTTCTTCCTCAGAAGATTCTTTTTCGGAAGATTCTTCAGCTGAAGAGTTGCACAGCACATCAGCGGCTGCTCCCGAGATCCTGCATTGCTCACCAGCAGAGCTTCAAGGCCATATTAAAAACCTCAAGGTGCGTAAAGCACCTGGGGAGGATCAAATCACTAATAAGGCGTTGAAGCTGCTTTCACGCAAGTCCTTGACTTATCTCGTGGCTATTATCAAAGCCATCCTAACGATCCAGTACTTTCAATCGACTTGGAAGACTGCGGAAGTTATGATGATTCCAAAGAAGGCGAGTTCGATATTTCCCCAGGACTATCGTCCCATCATCCCACTGTCTGCTCCGTCTAACCTCACCTTGCGAATTTTTCGTAAGATCACCATGTGATTCCTGACGTGCAATCTGGATTTCCGTATGAGCATAGTACGGAGTCACAGGCGGTTAGAATTGTGGAGCGAGTAACCAGGGGCTTCACCCTTATCGAAACTACTGGCATCTTGCTTCTGGATGTCTCGAAGGCATTTGACAAGGTGTGGCACAATGGCCTTTCTATAAACTAATTAATAATAATAATAATAATAATAAAATAATCATCTTTATTCGTTGTACCAAGTAACGAGATAGGAAAGGCAGTCAGCTTTCATTCCTATAGAATGTGAAGGTCTCACTTAACCAAGGCTTCCTTTTTTCTCCACTTTGAACTCCTGAAGTAGGAAATTCGGCTGATATTTCCGTCGACAGTAGGCACCAAGCCGCTCCCTCAGGTCGGTTTAGGCCATCCTTTACCACTTTCTCGCATGATGTGTGCTCGCGATGGAATCTCTTATGCTGAACACTGCCTGTGGCCCGTCGCTTCCCGAATCTGGTTACGACAGAAAGTGCGGTAGATGAGGTATTGGAATGGCAGATCGGTGGCTAATCAAATTTATACTCTCTCTACTTGACAAGCAGAATCACATGGCGTTAAAAACAAATCCAAATTACGTTTCGGCAAACTCGAAAAACCCGTTTACGATTTAAGAAACCTCAAAATTAAGTTGGTTAATAAGTAGTTCGGCCTGCAACAAGATGGTTATCAGACCAGCAATCACTCTCACGCATGTGCAGCATGGTGTTTTCTTGCCAAACGCATATGCGTAATCTGCAGGTTTTGCAGAACAGAACCTTGCGAACCATCACTAACGCACCATGGTATGTCTCCAACGGGTCTCGTTCACAGAGACCTCGACATACCTTACCTAAGGGTACATCAAACATCAGGCGCAGTTACGTTATAGTCAAGCGGTATCGCACAGCAACCCTCTGTTGCGTGAGTCAGTAGACTACACAGTCCAGCAATTTCGCAAGCACACAAGACCGCGGCTCGCACTGTGATCAAAATCAAATCGTGCAACTCTAGATCCAACCAAAATTACGATTTTTGCCACACACAGATTCGTAGATTAATTTTGGAATAATTTAAAATAACCGAATACCTGACGGACAATGATGAATAGAGAGACTTCGTGATTGAACATACATCAGATTTGATACAGGTATCAATGTCATTTCAAAAAATCACAAACAATGTGGGACCTAATATACTGCCCTGACGCACCCCTGTTTCAACATTAAGCTCATTCTAAATAGCTGTTCGATTACGACCCAGTAGTTTTACTATTTCCTTAAGCCATATGTTTTTAATTTGTGCAATAATATATTGTGATCTGGGCAGTCATACGCTTTAGTAAGATCAAGAGAGATACCCAGTACACTCTTGTTGTTGTCCAAGTCTACTATAATATTCTGAATAAACTGACAAGCAGCTGAAAGAGTTGATGTTACTTGAATATAACCATGTTGAGTTTCCTTATCAGGTTATTTAGAGTTAAAAAATTCAATATTCTGTTATTCCATTACCATCTCAAATATTTTTCAGACAACTCACAACAAGCTTATGGGTCTGAAACCATACAAAAAATGACAAATCGCCTTTATTCTTGTAAGCTGGAATGACAAGTACTGTTTTTAATTGATCAGGATAAATACCATATTTCAATGAATTATTGATAATTTTAGTTCATTCCAGTTGTCGGTCTTGATGATATTAAAAAATGTTTTTTTTATCTTTAAACTTCAACACCCGGTATCTTTTTAATCAAGCCCTAGAGGAAAAAATGTTATATAGAAGACCCCCTTAATATGCGGTCCTGTGTATGATGTTTCAT